GTGTTATTGTTCTTTCAGGCCTTAAGTCTAAAGGTCAGTGCCATTTGCCCTGGGTGTGTCAATTGCTGGCTAAGGTCATTCCCTCCTCAGGGACAGTTAGAGGGCAAAGTAGGGATGTTATTTCCTGACTGCTTTCAGATCTCAGCCGCACATAGCTCTGTCCATTTTGCCCCAGCAGTAATTCTAGTTTCATCTCTGGCATACTATTTATTGTACATTATAGGATCAGCTACTTCTACATTTAAGCATGATGAAAAAATACTCATCAAAATGATTCATCCAAAATATTTCATTCAAATTGCAACATGGTTACACCATGTTGTCACTAATATCATAATTTGCATTTATTTATTGTTTCCTTTAGGCCATCCTTGACCAGTGAATTTTAGCATAGATATGTCTGTTTCCCTTAAAGTAGTGGAATGCAGCTCCATTAACATCAGTGAAATGGAACTGGTTTGCTATTTCTATTCACATCATTCCACTTTAACTTTATGATCATTAATTTTTTAATAACATTTTTATGCGTCATTAGTTATGTATGTGATTCTCCACTTTCCACCCTCTCTCATTTTTTCCCATTATCAGAAACTTGTTAAAAATAAAAAGTAAATAACAATGCAAACTTGTGGTCTCCGTTGTTTAATCATGCAGCTTTACCTTGGTACCTAGATATTTGCTCACAGTGAGTAAGTGTAAGTGGTTCCTAAAAATAGAAAGACAGTGCAAGCTACTCAAGATGGAGGCTAAACCAATATTTAGAGAACATCAGCCTGTTTTAACACTAGCCAGCAGGTGTAATGGGCACTTGCTTTCTATTTCGTGTATTTGGAGCTCTTATATCTGGTAGCATAGTGGCTAAAGCACTTGACTGCTAACCAGAAGGCTGGTGGTTCAAACCCACCAGCCACTCCTCGGAAGGAAGGTTGGGCAATACTACTTCTGTACTGATACTGCCTCGGAAACCCAAGGAGGGGTCGCTATGAGTCGGGGCCGACTCGATGGCAAACAACAACAACAACAACAATATCTGGCCTGAAGTACCCTAGAGGTGGCTTACTGGGAGGGGCACCAGTGACAGTTCAGAAGGTACCTATTCTATCAAGTCAGCCCTTGACCCAGAGCAGGCATAGTCAAGGGGATTGCACTGCATCCCAGATAACCTGCTACAACTCTACAAGGATCCCCGTTTTCGTCAAAGGTCACTTCCTCTCCTGTACTTGTCTGGATTTCTCAATTAACAGCAAATAATGCAGTCTACTGATGGCCCTTGCATTGTTGGCTTACTTAATAATTAACTTTTTATTGTTTGCACCTCTTCTACAAAGCTAAAGTGTAGGTTTCTTGAGTTGAGCATAAGATTGAGTCTTTTGTTAGCCATCCCTCTTAGCATTTAACACAGGAGGAAGAATCAGGTTGGACTTGGGTTGGAATACCAGATCTCCACTTACTAGCTCTGTGATCTTGGATAAGTTCCTTCATCTCCCTGCCTCTCAGTTTCCACATGTATAAAATAGGAGTGGTAACACCTGCCTTGAAGATCCCTAGTGATACAGTGGTTAAGCACTCAGTGGTTGCTAATCAAAAGATTGGGGGTTCAAACCCACCAGCCTCTCCACAGGAGAAAGACGTAGCAGTCTACTTCCATAAAGATTACAGCCTTGGAAACCCTATGGGGCAATTCTACTGTGTCCTATAGAGTCACTGAGTCAGAATTGACTCAGTGACAGTCAATTCTGACTCAGTGACAGTGGGTTTATTATTTTCATACCTACCTTGCAAAATATTATGAGAGCCAGCTAACATGGTGTTGGTCAGTAGGATGTGCTTGTAAGTGTCATCCTGATTCACAAGGCAAAGCCTTTACACAGAAGTTGTGCAAAATTTTTACAAAATAGAATATGACAAAGCAGGATTTCAAATAATATAAAGGCAAAGCCAGCAATGAACTATTCAAATTTCATGGTGTGGGTGCCATCTCCTCTGACCTTGAGCTTGCATGACAGTGTACAAACCAATTTTTATTTGTGACTTTTTCATGACCATATAATAACCACTTTGAGATCATCTTGCCACCCAAGCCCAAAAAGGTCAATGATCTCGGGAACATCATTGATTTGAAAGGTGGAAACTTTGTTCGTTGGTACCCTCGGCCCATCTCATCCATTTAAGCACCAGCCCTTCCTTGCATGAAGTAGCTTTCTCCAGCTCCTTGCAGCCGTGTGACAGAGGGCAATTCTCCATGTTTCTTCCTCATCTAATGATTTCCATGGGTATCCTTGGCCTCTTTGGGAATTTTCTGTAAAAGCAGCCACAGTGGGTGGTAGTGGTAGGGCTTCACTGAGATCCACAGCATCAACATAAGAAAGAAGTAGTGATAAGAATGGGAACATGAGGAACGTATATGAAATATAAATAATACTGAAATGAGTTTCCCCCACTTCCCATGTAGTTAACACATTCGCCAAAACTCTATGTGTGTGCTCTCCATTCAGTGACTGGAAAATTGTCCAGGAGTATACTGGAAGACAGGGCAACTCTGCCTTGACTCTGCCATTTCTCTCTTGCTGGTAGAGCCATGTCGCAATAAAGAAATGGGTCATGTCACACTCATCACCTTGTTTGCTTATTTCTAAATAGCCTCTTTCTTGTCTTGTTACCCCTTTCTAAAAGTTCCTGGGAAAAAACAGAGTAAGTATCTATAGATTTGCTGGATCTTTCATGTCAGCTTGTTGTTATTTGCCGTCATGTCAGAGCTGACTCATAGCGACCCCTCCTTGGGTTTCCCAGGCGATATCACTACAGAAGTAGATTGCCCAAACTTCCTTCCAAGGAATGGCTGGTGGGTTTGAACAGCCAGCCTTCTGGTTAGCAGTCAAGTGCCTTAGGCACTACGCTACCATCAGCTTTGTTCTTGTTATGTGCCATGGAGTCATGGAGTCAGACCGACACAAAAAACCAGGTCACATGAGCTTTTTAATACAAGTACTAGGGAACAAGACAGATAAGGACTCTTGCCTGCCTCAGATTGGTTGTTTGATTTGATTGGTTATTTGTGCTGTGCCTTGCTCAAAAAGTAATTTGAAACAACACCCACCAAACAAACCATTTTTTCACCTTCTGTACACTATAATTATATGTTAGGGGCACAGTTAGAGTTATGACATTCAGTCACTTGAAACATTAATCAAGTGTTTACCATGTTAGAGACCCTGGCCTGGATACAGTGTTACAAAGATAAATGAAATCATCCCTGATCTAAAGGAACTCACTGCCTCAGGTAGAAACTGACACAATTAAGTAAAATAAAAGTGAGATAGTAGTGATTGCCGTCTAGAACTAAAATATAGGTTAGCAATCATGTTTTTGTTTTGTTTTTAAGCAAATATCCAGGGATTCATGTGACTTTTTTTTTTTTTTTAATTTGGAATTGTTTTTTAATTGGGTATTAATTTGGGTGAAAGAAAAGGCAGTTAATTTGGAATTTTATTTAAATTACATCAAAAGCATTAACAATTAAAATCTCATTCAGTTATATGTAAGAAATTTCCCTTATTGGAAAGAATGCAGTGCCACCCTGGAAAATCCAGGACATTTCCTAACTGGTTATGATTGCTGAGAGGATGGTGTCATTTACTCTCTGTAAGAACACTAGAGAGGGCTCCCCAGAGGAGTTGATGTCTGAGTTGAGTCTTGAACACAGGATAAAGTCCTTGTAAGAATTTTGGTGATATGTACTGCATGAGTTTGATACACGAGTACGTCAGCTTCAAAGCTTGCCGGCTCATCTCATCTGCACTCATTCTCCTGGTAGATATTTTGATCACCACTGCAGTAGCATTCAGCAAGGACCCCATGATTGCCATTTTCACTTGATTTGTCCACATGATTCGTAGACATGCTTCTCCTTCCTGTGGGGTCCGCAGTGTTTGGAAGAACCTAGAAGGACAGTGTTTTTGCATGCAGGATAAGGAAGCTGATCTCGAACACCAGCAAGGTTCATCCATTTCCATCTGAAAAACAATTGGCCTTAGGCAACATATTTTTAATTGTCTAAGTCATTCTGTGTGTACGCACACGCACAGTCACGCCAGCCGTGCATAAATAGCACATTTTCAATCTGTAAAATGTAATGGATGAGCAGCACATGACAGTAGGCTTAGCCCCTGAAGATTTACCAGAAAAGAAGACAGCTGCATGGCAAAGCTGCTGCTAATAATTAGGGAAGGAATAGCCCGTGTCCTGTGCCACTCAGCAGCTTCAACCATTTAAGTGACAACTGGTTTTTCTGGCTCTATATCCGTGCCCCCCTATCCCACCCCAAATTCTTTATGGGCCAGGAGTTCATTTCTTTTCCAGAACATGGCTTTTGATTGTCATCATCTCTGGTATTATAAGATCACTAGGACACAATGACTGAAAAGTCCCAACTAGACACTATGATGAATGAGCAAAACAGGACTTGTTTTAAAATCTGTTTAAAAATTTTAAGTGATGAAAAACTATTTTTAAACCCAATGGACTTTCTGTTTTTAACAGGCCCATAGTGCAGTTTGGTGGTTGACAAAGAACTATATATAATGCTTGCTTTGGCTTGAACGAACTGCAAGAAGTGTCACAGCACCCTCCCCTTCTGTACAATGACTCTTGGCAGGAACGATCGGGTGGCAAATTAATAGGCTTCCCATTGTTCCCGTGCATTTTTGCCAGGATATTTCATTAGTGTAAACACTGAACCTATTGTCATCTTGTTTAGCCACTTGACCCTCGTTATTTTCAATTCTTCTTGTGCCTGTGATAAAGTACAGCAGTAGCATGTGAAAGACAGGCACTAATTATTGGAAGCACAGTCATTGCTGACCCCAGTACGAGATTAACTGCTCCTCCATAGTCTTTATTCTGAAACAGTAATACTGTCTGGTTATCGTGCTTCAGTTGAGGGAACCAGGACAAAAGCGGTGCTGATGGTAATGTTGGCAATTTCCCTGTTTGTTTTGCAGGTCACAGCCAGGGGCTTTGGGCCACTGTTACAGTTTGCATACACCGCCAAGCTGTTACTCAGCAGAGAAAACATCCGCGAGGTCATCCGCTGTGCTGAGTTCCTACGCATGCACAACCTGGAGGACTCCTGCTTCAGCTTCTTGCAGACCCAGCTCCTGAACAGCGAGGATGGCCTGTTTGTGTGCCGAAAGGACACCGTGTGCCAGCGCCCTCATGAGGACCATGAGAACTCTGCGGGAGAGGAGGAGGAAGAGGAGGAGGAGACAATGGATTCAGAGACGGCCAAGATGCCTTGTCCCAGGGACCAGATGCTTCCAGACCCTAACACCTTTGACGCCGCAGCCGTCCCCGTAGCAGAGAAGGAAGAAGCCTTGCTGCCTGAGTCCGATGTGCCCACGGACATCAAAGAAAGCTCAGAAAAGGACGTGTTAACGCAGTACCCCAGATACAAGAAATACCAGCTTGCATGTACCAAGAATGTCTATAATGCATCATCACACAGTACCTCAGGTTTTGCAAGCACATTCAGTGACGGTAACTCTGGTAACAACCTCAAGCCAGGGCTTGCCACGGGGCAGATTAAAAGTGAGCCGCCCAGTGAAGAAAATGAGGAAGAGAGCATCACACTCTGCCTGTCCGGAGATGAACCTGATGTCAGGGACAGAGGAGGGGATGTCGAAATGGACCGGAAACAGCCCAGCCCCACCCCCACCCCCACCCCCCCTGGCAGTGCCACCTGCTTGGATAGATCCAGAAGCATGTCCTCCCCCTCCTGTTTAAGGTCTCTATTCAGTATAACAAAAAGTGTGGAGCTGTGTGGTTTACCCAGTACATCTCAGCAGCACTTTGCCAGGAGTTCAGCATGCCCTTTTGACAAGGGGATCACTCAGGGTGACCTTAAAACTGACTATACCCCCTTCACGGGGAATTATGGACAGCCCCACATGGGCCAGAAGGACACATCCAACTTCACTATGGGGTCGCCCCTCAAGGGGCCTGGGTTGGAGGGTCTCTGTAAGCAGGAAGGAGAGTTAGACCGGAGAAGTGTCATTTTCTCCTCAAGCACTTGTGACCAAGTGAGCACTGTGGTGCATTCATATTCTGGGGTGAGCAATTTGGACAAAGACCTCTCTGAGCCAGTGCCAAAAGGTCTGTGGGTGGGAGCTGGCCAGTCCCTCCCCAGCTCCCAAGCCTACTCCCATGGCGGACTGATGGCTGACCACTTGCCAGGAAGGATGCGGCCCAACACCAGCTGCCCAGTGCCAATCAAAGTCTGCCCTCGCTCACCCCCGTTGGAGACCAGGACCAGGACTTCCAGCTCATGCTCCTCCTACTCCTATGCGGAGGACGGAAGTGGGGGCTCACCCTGCAGCCTCCCTCTCTGCGAGTTCTCCTCCTCACCCTGTTCCCAGGGAGCCAGATTCCTTGCCACAGAACATCAGGAACCAGGCCTGATGGGAGATGGAATGTATAACCAAGTCCGGCCCCAAATTAAATGTGAGCAGTCTTACGGAACCAACTCCAGCGATGAATCAGGATCGTTCTCAGAAGCAGACAGTGAGTCGTGTCCTGTGCAGGACAGGGGCCAGGAGGTAGGGAACTCACATAAATTCAAGCATGTGACCCACTCTCTCAGTCCTTTATGTGGACTGTGATTCTCTCCCTGCCTCCCCACCACTCCCAGATTGTTCTTAATTAAAGGTGACAGAAAAAGGACTGCCTCCTCCATCCATGGAGGCAGCATGCTTCCAGGTGATTCCAAATTAACCACTTTTGTCCTACAAGATACCTGATATTTGACCTAGATTTCATACTCAACAAGCAGAGACAAATCACTTAGTGAAAAAGTAAGTCTAACGCATGAAAACGAGCTCAATCAAGTGCTTCAAATCCCCGATCCCCCATCCCATCTCCTCCCTTTCTCCTTTCTCTGTCATCCGCTTTGAAAGGATGCTGTAGTCCACACCCTCATCCCACTCTTCTCTCCTGCAATGTGAAGGAAAATGTGCAATTTCTTTCAAAATTGATTGATTGAAATGAGATAGGTCAATACTAAGTAGGTGCTTTCCCAGCACCCTTTAAGTTTATCTTGTCAACAGATGACTCTGGGGCTGTCCCGTGTCTATTATGAGGCAGATGATGGATAGCTTGTCATCCGTCCTGATCCAGGGTCAATGCAAAAGCACCCTATAGGTGTCACGCATCACTGTATCATGAATCACTTCCCAGGCCCTCACAAATGATGTAAGGAGTAGTGGGATGGAGTAGCAGTTTTTGTCTACACTGAAAGCAAAGTGCTTTAAAGGTACAAATCCCCAAATGATCTTCCATGTCTACCATTACTGGGAGATGAGGGAGCCGAGCAATACCAGCCATAGCATGAGCAAGAGCCAGATGACTGAAGAAAGGAAAGAATAGAAGCCCCCATGTTTTCCCTTCTACCAGTAACATGAGAGTTCCCTAGAAAGATTCTGAGGGAGGTCTGTGTCATGATCTGGCAAGAAACCAACCTGAGACTGCCACCTGTCTCAGACCTGCCTTAGAAAGAGGAGTGCGCCAATTCAGAAGTCCTTCCTCAGAGCTATTTACATACAAAACAGGAGGAAATACAGCGTGTTCCTCATTAAGCCAGTGCCCTCACTGTTCTGCACTCCCTGGATATTAAGCCAGTTAAACCAGGTGTCATCAAGGTGACCCTGACTCATGTGTCAGGGTAGAACTGTGCTCCACAGGGATTTCAATGGCTGATTTTCCAGAAGAAAGAAGCCTTTCTTCTGAGGTGCCTCTGGCAACTCAGACTTCCAAACTTCTGCTTGGTAGCCAAGCCCATTAACCATTTGCACGAATCCTTGGTAAGGTTGTTGTGGTGGTGATTGTTGTTATGTGCCGTCGAGTCAGATCCGACTCAATAGTGACCCCTCCTTGGGTTTCCGAGGCAATATCACTACGGAAGTAGATTGCCCAGCCTTCCTTCCAAGGAGTGGCTGGTGGGTTTGAACCACCAGGCTTTTGGTTAGCAGTCAAATGTCTTTAGGCACTACGCTACCAGAGCTCCTCTGGTAAAGGTAGAGAATATTAATCAAACCAGACAGCAGAAATAACACGTGGAGTGAAGTGGCTTCTCACAGAGCCACATGTGGATTATTCAGCCTTTGCAAGGTTGGCAAGAAGCACATGAGGTTTTAGTTTGGGTGCCTTTTGAAAACAGATTCCAAAGCTCCCTGTGCCTGCTGCAATAATACCCTGTGGTCACTTACTCTTCTTTGCTTGCTACTCTCATCCCTGCTCTTCTATTACTGCCTGGCAAAAACAGAGAAAGAAAAATACTGACAAGATTTAATTTAGCTAAGTCATAAAGGAAATTTGAAGAACTGCTTCCGGTGGAATACACTGTTTTCCCTGAGACTTGGGGTGCAGCCCCAAGCTAAATATCCCTGTGTCCCTGACCTCCAGAAGATTGAGGTTTGTGCAAAGGCAAAAGGCCATACTCTCTCCTCACTCACTCTCTCTCCCCCACCTTTGTGGGGTTTTCTAGGTCCCGTGAAACTTAACGAGTGTGCCTGATGCAGAAGCCTAGTCACTGGGTCCGTTTCCTCAGCATAGCCAGGAGAAAAGGACGAATGTTTCCCCATCTTTTGTTCCCTCCATTCAGCTTAAAGGGCCTGTGTTTTTCTGGCATTTGCAAGAAAATTCAAGAAACTGTCAGTATCAGATAAATCTCCTTTTGCTCCTCTGTATCCCAAAAGAGAGCTTAAACCACTTCTTGGAACTAAAAGCCCCTAGCAAAAACACACGTGTTTTTCCTGTTTCGGCCATATCATTTGTCTACCTTAGCACTGAAAACAGTTGAATCAATTAAAAGGAGGACACATTCAATAAAATAGTTATTAACAGGACTAGTCTCCACTCTCAGAATATTCCCGATTTTCCAAATGTTCTTATTTTTACTTCTCAAAAACAATATTTTATTTACATTCCTAAACAGTGAGAAAACAGGTGTTTGCCAGTGTTCTCCACGTTTCAGAGACCACCCTCAACCTCTCTCAGCAGTACATTTCAGACAGGATAGTTATAGTAATACATTTGGAATGGGCACCTGGGTGGTCAAACAGTTAAGCACTCAGTTGCTAACTGAAAACTTGCTGATTTGAGCCCACCTACTAGCTTCCCGGAGGAAAGGGTCGGCGAGCTCCTCCTGTAAAGATGATTGCCTAGAAAATCTTACAGGGCAGTTCTGCCTACTCTGTCACATAGGGTCCCTGTGAGTCAAAATCAACTTAGTGGCACCTGAAGACAACAGTTAAAGTAAAGCTAGGGTTGTTCCCAATTTGGCATTATAATTTTTCTAGAGATGCTTAGATTTTTCCCAAGAACTATCTCAGGGATATAGCCTGACTGTCTTAGAGACAGCCTCCTCTTAGAGTTAATGACTTGCCTTTGCTAGTTACTTTGACCCTGGTAGAAGGATTGTCCGCAGTAGTGATGTTGAAGGCAGATCCTGTGTAATTTGAGTCGTAACTTTGTCTTCCTGAACTGATCCAGAAGAAGCCAACATCTGTTGGGTGCCTACTATATCCTGGCTATCCTTGCATGCTTATCTCATGAAGTCAAGATTTCTACAGTTAGCTAGAGCAGTAACAACTCACTCTTGAAAACAGTAAATGTTAACAGGACTAAATAAAACATATTTCTTCATTTCCCTATGTGAGAGGTACCTAGTTATACAAAGCTTTAATGGAGGGAAATAGAGCTGATTCTGCCTTGGTCTGGTTTTATATGAAGTGCAGGTACCTTTCTCTTCCAAATGATCCCCAAACAGACACTAGCATCAGAAACCAAGAGTTTCTTCCTCTTGCTGGCCACCAGTCTGAATTCTCAGATTAACAGTCCATCCATACTCCTTTCCAATCTTTCTTCTTTCAGCTCTGTTGTTGTTGTTGTTATGTGCCGTCGAGTCAGCCCAGACTCATAGCGACCCCTCCTTGGGTTTCCGAGGCAGTATCACTACGGAAGTAGGATTGCCCAACCTTCCTTCCAAGGAGTCTATAAGGACCTAAAATCTCATATCAAACAACTATTAGATAGATACCTTGTATTCTGCAAGATGTACTAGTTTTTCCATGTTAAGTAATACTTCCATTGAATTCTCCATCTTTCTTAACTATTCCTTAGCTTTGAAGATAGCTTAAATTAACACAATGTTTTCCTTTATCAACAATCAACTTCTTAAAAATACTTTTTTTTAATAATAAGTACAGCATACCCAGCCCAAATTTAACAGATTACCTCTGTGTGCCTGCAATAACTTACAACCATGTGCACATTATAGAGGTTTGCATTTTGTTTTTATGGCATTATACCATGTAACTACACAGCAACTTGCATTTTTCACTTAACTATTGTATACATGCCTCTAATCACTATAGGTTTAATGACTGCTTTTTTAATATCCGTAAATCACAATTTATTCAGCCATCACCTATCAACATACATTCTGTTGTGCTCAGTTTTTTTCTTCTCCTAAATATTGCTGCAGTAAATATTTTTATGAACATATTTTTAGTAGTAATGCTTTTATTTTGGAGGAGCAGAACCCCATTAGTGGGTCAAAGATTACTCCCATTTATTAAATATTACCTGATTACCTTTCCAAAAGGTTACAGCAATTCACATATCTTTCAGCAATTTATGAGGGTCTGTTTCTCCCTTCTCTTGCCAGTGTTAGTTGTTACCAGGCTTTTTAATTTTTGCTAATCTAATAGCAAAGAATGGTGACTCATTGTGCATTTCCTTGACTATTAATGAGATTGACACCTTTTCTTCTGTTTATTCACTGTTTACATTTCTTTTTCTTTGAATTGCCTGTTTATAGCTTTGCCCATTTTTCTTTTGGGTTGCTTTATTAGAAATCAATACCAAAACCAAACCAAACTCAAAGCCATCAAGTCAATTCCAGCTCACAGTGACCCTTTCGAGCGGAGTAGAACTGCCCCATAGGGTTTCTAAGGCTGTAAATGTTTACAGAAGCAGACTGACACATCTTTCTCCTACAGAGCAGCTGGTGGGTTCAAACTGCCAAACTTTTGGTTAGCAACTGAATGTTTAAACCACTAATCAACGTATAACCAAAAAAAAAACCAAACTCACTGTCAGCGAGTTGATTGGACTCATAGCGACCCCTCCTTGGGATTCTGACACAGTATCTTTATGGAAATAGATTGCCCAGTCTTCCTTCCGAGGAGTTTAAACCCTTAATATTAGAAATAGTAACCTTTTCTTGTGAATGTTGCCTATATGTTCTTCTAGTTTTAATTTATGGTAACTTTGCTGTATAAAAAAAGTTAAGTTTTATGCAGGCAAATTATCAATCTTTTTCTTTATGACTTCTGGGTTCAATATATTAAGAAGTCAGCTTGGGAAATTTTTTTATTTCAAATGATTAAAAACAAAAAGTCATATTAAGTGAAAAAAAAAGTCACAAACAGTAAGCATTAAAAGGTCTTAGTTTGTATACAGATATGTTGTTGTGTTGTTATGTGCTATCGAGTCAGCCCGACTCATAGCAACCCCTCCTTGGGTTTCCGAAGCAGTA